AACATGACAACACTAAGATATGAACACAGTATTTTCCACTTTGTCCTACTAGTTCAGAGCACTCACTAATTCACCACAGAGAGGCAAGTCCAAGTCATCTGCCCTGACTAGGAATATCATTTCCACCACTGTCCCCAAAACAAAGTTCTGCTGTACTTATTTTGAATACTCAAGATCTTAAGACTATCTTTTTCTGCATCATCATATCAACATAATTATCTGAATGTCTTCTATATACCAGGACTTATGCTAAAATACATGCATTATCTTCTTAAGTCTAGACAACAATCCTATGAGAAATAATTATCTCTACTTACAGATCAGAAATTGATGCTAACAATTTAGGTATTTTGTATAGAGTCATCCAGGTATTTAAGTGACGGAATTAAGATCTGAACCTAGGTCTAGTTCTACTTTTCCATATTGATTTCCATTTTACACTAAAAATGGGAGGGACGAATGAAGTATAGAAATGATATTTTGGTCAGATTGCACACCAAGTCCATGTAAGGCGCCGTATCTTGAATTTGCCGACAACCATACCTACTGTTTCTTTCACTAAATTATAAATGTCTCCTTAATTCAAATTCTTGATTATTTCACTAAATGATGTTGGCAAATATGTAGTGATTGCTTACTGTGTGCCAACCACTGTTCTAGTTGCTTGAGGATACAGTCAGTAGTAAAGAAGGCATAGCCCTGTCATCTAGTAGGAGAAGATAAGACAATAAACAAGTGAACAAATAAGTAATTTCATATACTAAAAATAAAGGGATGTGGCCCTGGCTCGTATGGCTCAGTTGGTTGGAGTCTTGTCTCATACACAGAAAAGTGATGGGTTCGAGTCCTGGTAGCCAATTGATGTTTCTCTCTTTCCCCTCTTCCTCTAAAATAAATTTTTTTAAAAATTTAAAAAATAACGTGATACGATAGAAAGCAACTAAAATGACCATTTGAAATAACGTCGTTAGGGAAGGCCTTTCTCACGAGGTAATATTTGAGCTTGGATCTAAATCAGGGGTGGGGAACGTCCGGCCTGTGGGCTGAAATAATTTGGTCTGACCCTGCCAAGGCCTCACCAAAGAGAAGCAGTTCCAGCCATCACATTAGGGGTGAGTTAATTAAATGTTTGACCAAATATAGCAGGCTAATTTTTAAGTTGATAGTTTTGTATGGCCTGAGAATGATGTCCAAATGGCCCTTGGCAGAAAAAAGCTTCCCTACCCCTGATCTAAATGATGAGAAAACTGAACTGGAAGAAGCCTGAGAGGTAGCAGTGTAGGAACTTGTAGGCCATAGTAAAAGAAGTTTAGACCTTAACCCAATTGCAACGGGATATCAACTGGAGGGTTTTAAAGCACAGGGCTGGCATTGGTTTACGCTACAGAAAGATCACTTTAAAAAATGATGGTGCCCGGCCGGGCGAGGCTCAGCGGTTGAGCATTGACCTAGGATCCAGGAGATGGCAGTTTGAGTCCAGGTCAGGGCACATGCCCGGGTTTCGGGCTTGATCCTCAGTCGGGGCGTGCAGGAGGCAGCCGATCAATAACGACTCTCTCATCACTGATGTTTCTCTCTCTCCCTCTCCCTTCCTCTCTCTGAAATCAATAAAGATATATTTTAAAAGTAATAATAAAAAACAAAAAAATAAAAAATGATGGTAATGAATACTTCAGTCAAACAAATTAAAAGAATCCTGAATAAAATCAGTAGGACCCACCCATGGAATATACCTTCAGGAGGCCTACTTGCTTTCTCTAAATTACTGCCTTTAAAGTGAACAAAAGTTTCTTATGAAGTAAGGGATAAAATGAAAATATCTCTGGAGGAGCTAACATAGTTACTTAAATTTACACTGAGGTCTAAATAAAAATTACGAAATAATGGAAAAGAAAGAGAGCGAGAGAGAGGCAAAAGTGGCATCAGGAAAATGGACAGAGAGGTCTGGAATGCCAAAAACACCAACCTCACAAATGTGCCTAAGGCTCACTTGGAAACCAAACTAAAATAATTCTAACAGTAAGGAAATATGAAATTAAATGAAAACCAAGCCCCAGTGCATAGGCTGTTTCCACTATGCTCTTCGCCACTCTGAATATCTCAAGGCTGTGCTTACAGTGAGATATGTGATGTTCATTAATGTACAGCTGACCCTGGAACTTCGAGGATCAACTGACATGTGGACTTTTTTTTTTTAATATATCTTTATTGATTTCAGAGAGAGGAAAGGAAGGGGAAGAGAGAGAGATAGAAAGATCAATGATGAGAAAGTCATTGATCGGCTGCCTAGCCCGCAACCCGGGCATGTGCCCTGACCGCAAATCAAACCCTGATCTCCTGGATCCTAGGTCGATGCTCAACCGCTGAGCCACGCCCGGCCGGGCAACATGCAGACTTTTAAAATAAATACCGTAAATGGAATTTATGATTTTCTTAATAACATTTTCTTTTCTCTAAGCTTACTTTATTGAAAGAAAACAGTATATAATACATATAACACACAAAATATGTGTTAATCGACTTTTTTATGTAATCAGTAAGGCTTCCAGTCAACAGTTCTTAGTAGTTAAGCTTTGGGAGAGTAAGAAGTTATACACCCATTTTTGACTGCTCAAGGGTTGGCATCCCTA